GTACCGTAGAACCACCGCACCACCCCCTCAGCCTCCCCGCCCCTTCCCTCTTATCTGGCCTGTGGAGGATACCCAGGCAAATTAGGCAAAGCATTCCTTCATAGCCAACTGTTTAAGTCTGTCCAGTATTCATATATATGCTGTGGCATTTGACTGAGGAACAGGACCACAAACTTGTCTGAACCATCTCCTGACCTTCAAACAGCAAGTTGTGTGCTCAACTCCCTGCTGTGCAGAACTGTCACTGCTAATTACAGGAGTTCGGTTCCCGACCCATTTTTCCTGGTCTGCTTTAATCATGATAGAAGTTGCAGTTTTGGCTTCCAATAAAGAGTTTTCCTTCCCTGGTTGAAAGCCTTGGTTGTTGGCAGGGGTCGTTTGGTAGAAAAAGAGCTAGGGGAGCTCATTAGCATAACTAATTAACATATGCCACAGCCCCTGACATCACCGGAAGTGTGTCATAAGGCCACACCCCCTGACATCACCGGAAGTGTGTCATAAGGCCACACACCCCGCACCCAACGGTCCCGGCCGCCAGCGCCGGCCTTGCAGCTCCACTGCCGAGCCTCATGAGTGCAAGGAGTGCAAGGAAGCCCCGCGAAGGCCCTCCCTGGCCCCAGGCAGGCAGGGGTGGGGAGAGGCAGGGAGGAAGCAACTTACCCTCCCCCTTCTCCTGCCTCCTCCCTGCTGAATGAGGGCCAGAAGCGGGGTGGCCGGAAGCAGGGGCAGGGCTTCGTCATGTGCCCCGCCCCCCGTACCTCACCCGGGGGAACTGCGATCCCCCGCGATCCCCCCCGAAATGACCTCTGGTTGTTGGTTTGTTTTGGTCATGTGTACTGTTCAGGGTTAGGGTTGGGATGGAATGGTCTTGGTTGCCCTGACTGATGACCTTCCCTGGGAAAGTGAGGGAGGAGTGCATCCCTGTTGGTTCTCCTGGACCTCCTGCTTTCAATACCCATCGACTATGCTATGGTATCCTCCCGGAGAGGCTGACTGGGCTGAGAATAGGGATCGCTGGTCTTTGGTGGCTCTGCTCTTAGTTGACCAACCGATTTCAGGAGAGGGTGCTGGGGGGGGTCTGCTGCTCAGCCCTAGGACATTTATGCTGTGGGGTCATGCATGGTTCCATCTTGTCCTTGATGCTGTTTACATCTACTTGAGACCTCTGGGAGAGGTCATTGGGGGATGTGGAGTGAGGTGCCACGAACATGCAGATAACACGCAGTTCTGTTTCTCCTTAGCAGCTCAACCAGGTGGGTCTGTGGAAGTCCTGAGAAGGTACCTGGTTCATTTAGAATGGTGGCTAAATTGTTGTTGGTTACTACTAACCTTATTTCATTGCCTTTAAGAGTGTCCTGATAAATTTCTGTATGTCAGGTACAGTTTTTCTTGGCAACTGATGACAACCTCAGTTGTGTTTTCCACAACAGTTGGATGTGCAGGTGATTACAGTGTGTGCCTCCGGACAGTGAAAAGTTTTAGCTGGTGATTTCTGAACATCAGGACACTGCTAAGGCACAAGTATGTCTGGATTGCAGGGAGCAATAGCCACAGCGATGTCAAAGGCAGAGCAAGAACACAGCAAAAGTTGCGAGACAGGCATTAGGGGGAGAGAGCAGAAAGGCAAAGAAAGCAGTAGCCGGGGCCAAGTTCTTTGCGGTAGCCAGAACCAGAAACTCATACCCTCCTGAACCACCACACCCAAATCGTGGGACTACATTTGTACTCAGACCACATCCTGACACCGCCAATTGGTTAAGAATGCATTTATCACTGAAGAATGAAGAGAGGATGGAATCTCTTTCCCAGGAAATGCCCTCCATCCAAGAACAGCAGGAAAACAGTGATGTGGGGAAAGTCCATCTTGCTATTCAGGACCTATTTGAGGTTAAGAGGTGGTGTTGCCACGTGACATCTATGGGAAGCCCATCTTTGGTGTGACTTAGTACAGGCATACGTATTTGGCATTTTAATGTCATGGTTTCATTGATGCTACTGTTTTTAATAGCACAGAGATGTACTTAGCATCTTAAGTTGATTTTTAAATCTCGCAGCAGAGTTCATGTTTTTACATGGGGGGGGCAATATTGAGTCCAACCACTGACACACTGTTGCACAACTGACCCCTTCGTGTATTCCTTTCCAGTACAAACAGCAACAGATGCTTTTACATCATGTCCAGTCACACCAATTTGTTTGCATCTTTGCTTCCACATGGGATCAGGCTGCTGAGGTATAAAAGGGAAGAACCCTGTTCCCATTGGGGGGGGGGGCCTAACAGCACTTGCCGATTCTAGGCTTAGCTTGCAAAAAAGCAGTTGAGGTGCATAATAATGGGTGTATGGAAGGGCGTTCTTTCCTAAGATCAGGGCTACACTGGGGACCAGACAGGCAACCCTGCCAAACCCTCCTCTAAGGTGAAGCAACTCAGGGCTGTGAGCCTCCCCACCATAGATCTCATTTTTGGGCAATTCTGTTCTGTATCAACTCCAGATTATCAACATCCTTTCTGAAATGTAAGACTCAAAACAGCACAATCCTAAGCAGAGTTGCTTCAGTCTACTCCGCTAAAATCTGTAGGCATAGACTGTAGTAGTTCTGCATAGGGTCATTCAGAAAATCAGTACACAGAGCTCCCAGAGAGAAACAGCATACGGAAATATCTTGTTCCCTTCAGTAATACAACTTGAAAACGGGGGGGGGGGGGGGGTTTGTTTTCTTTAGGAGTGCAAGGGCAAAGAAACAAAGGGAACAGTGAGTGATCTATCGAGTACTTTAAGAAGTGTGCATGCACGTGAAAGTTTATACCCTGAATAAAACTTTGTTGGTCTTAAAGGTGCCACTGGACTTCAACATTGTTCTGCTGATTCAGACCAACATGGCTACCCACTTGAAGCTATGGTTTTTAAATGTTAATTGAAGAAGAGATCGGGAGTAAAGGCACTGTCACTGGATAGTTAAACCACGATTTATTGGCAGTATTAGTTATATTAAAAGGAACTGATTTCTGTTGATATGTTTGCCTTATTCACTACTTGAATATCTCAAATATGTTTGATCAGCAAGGCATATGTTCACAATCCGCTAGCAGATATTATGCCCAAGTTCTGTGGAAGTGTCATTCATGTCAACGGTTTTCTCCTTTTATTCATGTTGGTAGCACTAACATTCAAACAGCAGCCTGCTTTACAATCTCCAGTATCAGTGACTTTTGTCAGAGGACCTAGGTGTCTCTGTTCAGTTTTTTGTAAAAATTGCATCTCCACCCCCATAGTTTTTAAATATCAAGACTCAGTCATGGTAGATGCCATAGTATTCTTCTCCCTCCAGTAAGCTTAGAATCAAGAAAGCTTATACCCTGAAAAATGTTGTTGGTTGCTATGGACTGGATTTAAATTCTGTTCTATTACAGACTAGCATGGCTAGCCACCAAATACTTCTGTCCCCACCCACCCCCGTGAGCAGGGACTTTTGAAACTGAAGAAAAAACTATGGGACCATGTATTTTTAGCAGTAAGATGAACTCTGAAGCTTAAGAATTGTGGCCCAAATAATTCATGAGCTCACAGAAGAATAGTAAACTCTTATGTTACATGTGCAATCCCCCATTCATTCAAAAATACTGTTAAAATTAATGAAGGCCAGTTAAACAGGTACACACAAGGGTTAAATCAAGTAATTTTACTTCTGACACTTCCTGGTGTTCCAAAGCACCTTGCCCAGAAGCTGCAATATGATTAGCTTCAACAGCCTGCAAGTATGTGGTTTTTACATATGGTTTGCTGGAGGAACAACTCAAATATCAAATGTTACCATTTGAATATTTTATATTATGGAGTTCTAGCCCACCTGGTTCTGAAAATGCATGATAGATTATTAACGGTGTAGAAAGCCCAGCAAACACAGATCACATTAATGATTAGGAATCACTGCATCTTAAACCCCCCCCCCAAAAGCCAAAACCCCCAAAAGCCAGCACAGACAGATTCTAACAGGTGCCTAGCCGTAAACACTGGGCAGTCTACATGGAGAAGAAACTCCATAACAGCACTGAGGGAGCCACTGTGAATTTTCCCTTTGCACTCTTGGTGTCTGAAGTTGAACCCAATGTAGGCAATATCATTAAGAGTACTCACAATGGAGCCTAGAAATCACAAGGTCAGCACTAGAAAAGGCACTTTAAAGCAGCAGAACTATTTAAGATGTGATGTGGAGTTTTCCCCTGTGTGCATTCTCACTGCACCTGTTTTACCTTTTGCCACATCAACCACCCAAAACGGTGGGGAAGCAATTTCCAATACCCTTCTGAACATATGAAGATGTCTCATACAGTCAGCTCATTATAGCAGCCCCACAGAATCTTAGGTAGAAAAAACACTTTCCCTAATCTTTTCTGACATCTGAGAATTGAATCTGTGATGCCATGCATGGACTCTGCCATTGAACACAGCTCTTCCAATTACATAATTCAGACTAGATTCAGGTGGGTAGTCATGTTGGTCTGAAGACGTTCAGTGGCACCTTTAAGACCAAAGCTTTCATGTGCATTAAATAGTCAGAATATTTAAGTTATTTAAACATCAAGCGTCTCATGGGTGTGATGGTCTATAGCCAACAGAAATATATATCTGATGGAATACAGTTATTTTACAGTCATATGACCTTCCACATTTTTGCCTGATATGCCACAGGTTTCTACAATGCTCCAAGTATAGAAGTGGCTAATTGACTCTTAGGATGTCAGCACCTTGTGCTCTACCAACTCCCTATGAATCTCCCTGTAGTTAGCATATCAGAGTAAGCTAGCTGCTTTTAACTGCTGAACACATCAGCAGTGGACAACATGCTCACACAGGTCTTGTACACTGCAAAGATTGGTTGTGTACTAATACATAGCATAACAGACTGAAGGTTATTCCAATGTTTCTTCAGTTCCAAAATATCAAAACCATTGACAAGAGCTAGACGGCCAACATACACCATTTTGTACACAACCGCTTTTATTATCAAAAATAAGTGAACATCCTAAACAGGCATTAGAATAGGTTTATTTACATTTTGTATTCAAAGATTTTTAATAGAAATCAAATATTTACAACTTTATCGCATACTATGCAAAAATGAAGGGGAAAATGTATTGCTTTCTCCTGTTAGATTCAAGTGAATTCATTACTGTTCTTTGGGCCAAATTTGTGCTAGCAATTGTAATTAGAAACAAAACCACAGAAGATGCAAAACAAAACCACAGAAGATGCAAAACAATAAAATAAAATAAAGTGCATTAGATGATGTAGTAATTCACTTTGGTGGATGAGGTTGCACAGTCCATGCTAAGGCACCCCATGTTTCCTCTCCTGCCCAAATCCAATTCCCCATCACACACATAATTAAATAAGCAATTTTAGAAGTAGTTTACCCATTTATTGCCGATTTAGCTAGCTTCCCAGATCAGCAGCATTCTTTGGGTGTCATTCTTTATCTAACTGTTCCTTCAGAAGAGCAGCAACAAAAATTCTCTCTGATAGAGATTCAGCTTCTGACAAAGCTGAGAGCAGCAGTTTATTTAGAATAGGCCTGGTTTCTGGGCTAAGGCAGTGTTTGCACCGCTTGAAAACTAAAAGCAGTTCAAAGTAATTTGGGGGGAGGGGGAATGGGTAATGTCTTAAAAACACCTGTTTTCCTGTAAAATATGCAGGTAAAACATTTGACCTCTCATCCAGAGTATTTTTTTTCACAAGCTCAGGTGAAGTAGATGTAGGGGTACTGCCAGTGACAGGTATGTTTGGTTCTAGTTATTAGTTGGTGTCTAGCAGCTTGATGCAGCATGGGCACTGCACTGAAAATAAGGGCACTCTGTCAGTTGGATATAAGGGGATGTTAGCCCAGACTGAATCTGAAAGAAACACACCTTAGTGCTTGTTTAAACTAAAGCAAATTAAGACAGTTAACTTAAAAACCAGGAGTTTTTAAAAATGATACACAATTTATATTTCTGTAGGCTGAACGAAGTTCCACCACATGAAAAAGTGGTTGTGCTCAGATGGCTAGGTGTAAGGATCTTTCTTTCTTGGTCTTGCTGAAAGAAAGACATATATCTGAAGATTACTAAAACTAATACTAGAAGAAAAAATAAAGTTAAACGTAGTGGGCAGGTCACTCCATGTAATTGCAGTCTTAAATCATGTATTTTATCTCAGTATCATCAAGGCAACATTGCTGCTACAGTAGCTTTATCAGAGTTGACATGGCTTGATGCTGGTATGACAAGCAGCTAGCAATCTTGTTACAATGGCCATTTAGGACTTTGCATCACATGCTTGTATTTCATCTGCCTCGAAACCTGGATTGTCAAGGTGTGGAAGTACATCTACAGCTGGAGGCTGGGATGTGCTGTTCACAAGATGGAGACTGTCACCTGTTAGAAATGAAGAAAGAACAGAAATTTAGAAATATGCATCATACACTGCATTCCTTTAGACTCGAGTCAGAGCTCTGTTTAAAGGAAAATTTATGTAACTGGACTTGACTAGAGAGGTGGAAATATAAACTAAGCATATTTTGGTTCTACTCTGATGCATTCTATCCGGCATCTGATGCGGCTGCTTGTTCCGTGTGCTCCACAGCCTACAAACACTGTTGGTTCACAGCTCCATCTACTAGCAAACAGCTTGCATGGTGGGTCGCACAGAGGTTAAGGGAATGAGCAGACAGAAGTCCTCGACTCCAAGCTTATTACGGCTAGGAACTCACTATGGCTACTATTGCTCAGCCTTGCAGAAGTTATTGCAGGGATTATGGAGAACCTTTGTGATGCTTTTGAAACCCTTAATGTGTGGTGCTTTTCTTAAGCACCTATATTTGCACATTAACACAGTCCCTTGCTGTTAGTGCAACACATAAAAGTGGGCACAGATTTGCTAAAAGAGCAGATCTCCAAAATACTGAGAGTATTAATTAATTTGGCTTTCCTTATTTAGGGAAGGCAGAGGTGGAAACGAGGAGAGTTGTAAACACTTCAACTCACATGCCTTCATGTGAACCTCCAGCAGGTGGCAGTACAAACATGAATTTCCTTATTTCTAATCTTAACACATATCAGCAAGTTCACTTATTCACACTCCACTACTCAGGGAATCAAAAAAATCTGCACCAGAATGTTAAAGTAGCTCTCACAGTGCTAACGTAATTTGTAAAATCAATTAAATACTTACTCTCAGAAGGAGCGGGTTCCTCAAGAGGTGGCTCATCTGTTCCCTGTACAGAAGCATAGCCAGATGATGCAGTCTCACTATGATTATCTTCTTCGTTAACAGAACGGATGTTAGAGGCTTCATTGGACACTGTAGCTGGGAAAGATTCTACTCTGTCTTCTATGTCCACCTGTGTCAAGAAAATTGAAATGAGATGACACAATGGGTAACATTACAATAGGCTTGATCCATCAGAAAAAGATGCTGATGGTTGTGAACCTTTCCTGCATCCTCTCCCCCCAGCAGTCCTTCCCAACTCAAGCCCATAGCTATGGGGAAGCCTTGGGGCGAACAACAGCCCCATGAATATGCCTTGCAGGAGGGGAGGGAGGCAGCAGGCGCGGCCTCACTGGGACTTCCTGCTTCCACAGCTGACTACTGCAAGGCAAAGCCACACCCCTCCCTCCCTCCCCTCCCTCTGGCTTCCTCCCCTCCTGGGCTGCAGCTGAGCAGGGGGAAGTTAATAGGGCAGAGCTTTGCAGGACGAGAGGTGGAGCCGGAGCGCACTCCTGGCAGATCAACCAACCCACTGGTGGCCTCTCAAAGTAGCTGGCTAACCAATGGCTGAGCTGCTTTGGTGCACATGAACAAGGACCACGAATGGGGCTCAGCCTGAGCAGTGCCCATGGAGAAGAAAGAGGTGGCAGTAGTATGCACGAGTGGGAAGAGGGGGCCAGCCAGCCAATGCTTGTTGGTAACTGCCTCAGCTTCACTGCTAAGGCACCTTCCCCATAGGGAGCTAGAGGAGGTCCTGTTGCTTTGCGGACTCCTTGTCTGTTGGGGCATCAGAGCCTAGTCTTGCCCCATTTTCTGCCCCACCTCCTTTTCTGGGGAAAGCAGAGGCTGGTGTGGGACAGCACTGGGGGTTTGGCTTCATTGTGTGGAAGTAGGAAGACCTGGCATGTGCCCCCCCCCCCAGTGTTCCCTCACAGAAATTTTTCTGGCTACGGGGCTGTTCCAACCCTTGGAAAATTTATTCCTAGTGTTGCAGGACCCATTTAAACTAATAGCCACATAGGTTAGGAGGCTGCAGTGGAGGGGCTGAATCATCCTCCTCCCTCTCTTCAATTAGCAGAAGTGCCCTAATGGAGGAGGCAGGGTAATTTCCCCCCTCTCCCCTGAAGCCTTCAGTGTCAGTGGAATCCATTCTGCAGAACAATGAGCTTTTTCCTTCTTACCATATTACATTTGTCTTTTTGTCTTTGAGGAAAGTTTAGACAACCTGGACAGAAATTATTAAATCAAAACAATTGCTTTCTTAGCAGATCTGCTGATCTCTTATAGCACTTCAGAAATACATCATGAAGTGGAGAGCCACAATTTTTTTTAACCTACTCTCTGAATTTTTCTCCTCTGCTCCTTGGCCAAAATATCTCTATAGAGTATTTCTGTAGTACTTACAACAGCAACATTCAATTTTACCATCTAGAAGTGACAGAAGTTAGATTTTGTTAGACTGAGCATTTTGAGTTGCAGATGTACCTCGATTCCTAGAGCCTTGAGTATGTCACATTTACACATGGGACAAGTCCTGTGTTCCAACAGCCATGGGTCAATACAGCTCTTGTGGAAAAGATGGCTGGAAAGAAAAGTTTAATATGATAAAGCAATTCAGTGCAAGAGCAAAAATTCTTAATCAAACAAAATAATGTAGTGGGGCTGGGACTGAAGAACTGGAAAAACACCACAAGCAAACAAAAAAACCCTGTAAGGCATCAAAACAATCAGTGTAGGTAAAATGTATCCCTTAATTAAAACACTTCAATCTAATGACAAGAACCTTAATAAAGCATAAGAATGCAATGGAACTGAGAGTGATGTGGTAGTATTTTTCATTAAAGAAAAAACACTGATGGCAGACAGTAAGCTGTGTAGAATTTGATAGAATGGTAAAGAAAAAGAAGAGTTGTAGGACTTGATGTACAACTGAGATGAGAAACTAACTGCAAATGAGGACAAGACTGTGTTCACACAAGCAATAAAGTGTGAATGTGTGCAAGAGAATGTATGTATACAAGTGAACTAGCATTAAGCATCTGGGTAAACAGACTTGCAAGGATGTGCAAAACCCACTGGCCCCTGCAGCCTTTGAACAACCGGTAAGGCTGAACAGGTCAACTCATCATTTGGAAGCCATTAAGAATCATTTTTCACATTCTTTCTCTCTACCTGCCTTCCTAACCTCAATCTAATAGTACATGTACACAGACAATGGCTGTGGATAAGCTTCAGTACTTTGAATTATCAGATTTATCAAACACAGTTATTGAGTGATGTGCTTGGAAAAACCTCCATTCAAAGGCTTACATCTGTAAATCTAGATGTCAGGCCCTGTGTCTATGATGATCTTCTGAATATTTTGGTTTCAATCCTATGCAGAGTCATGCTAGAGGTATCAGTTCAGGAAATGTATTTTTAATTTTATATTGCTGATAAACTCTGAAATGCTTAAGGTGCCTCATGTAATGCTAGCGATTCATGCTTGCATACCAGACATCTAACTAAACTGTAAAGGAACAGCCGCAGGGGTGTGAAAGGACAACAGTGATATGGATCATGGCAGTAGTGGTGGGGAAAGGTAGGTATTACCCACACACACATACACACACACACACACACATTTTCCTGACCTCTCCTCCTCTGGGGTTTGGAAAGGTACCTGAATCACTCCTGTCTTTCTCCACTCTTCATACTTAAACCAGCCTTGGGAGATGATTTTTAAGCATGGAAATTATATGGTAATGGCGGAGGGGCTAGCCACCTTACTCCTCAGCACTGCCACCCAGTTTATATCAAGCAGTCCTGAAGCTGCCTGTTCATTTCCATTACACATCTGAGGATCTCAACCAATGTACCGTCTAAGCTCCACTGTGTTTTGAGCAGAAATTCTACCTCATGAGCAGTGTTCCCTCTAAGCTGAGTTAGTGTGAGCTAGCTCACAGTTTTTTAGCCTCCGGCTCACACACTTTTGTCCCAGCTCAGGAAGGACGGCTCCGGAGCAAACGGATTCATGCAGTAGCCAAATCGCTCGCTCACAGCCTGAATGCCAGTAGCTCACAAAGTAGAATTTTTGCTCACAAGACTCCACAGCTTAGAGGGAACATTGCTCATGAACAAAAAAAGCTAGTAGCATTAAAGTTCTGAGCAAGTCTACATTTGAGTATTGCATAAATTATTTTTAGAAGATTATTTCCGTAACCTTGTAAAAATCTCAGAATGAATTCTTTTAAACTATATTTAAACTATATTTTAAGAATAATTTAAACATTATAAGAGAAAACTGAATCACATCAAATTTCATTACACAAAATATTGTCCTCTACGGGGTAGACTAGGCCTCCAGAGAGCAGGTCTACCTGCCTCTTTCCACTATATTGGTAGACCTGGCCTTGGACCTGAGCTGACCCTTAGAAAACATACCAGTACTTGGGGGAGGGAACACTTGCAGTCTACTTTTTTTTTTTTTAGTGAAATATGACAACCAGCATTACAAGTCGAGTATAACAGATGTAGACCAATCACTGTCAGAACCCTGCCTAACCTAACAAACAGGAAGTTGCTTAAATGTTATCAACCTGGCCATCTATTCAGATATTTATATCCCACTTTTCCCTGTGACTCAAGGCAGCTTAAAAACCATACTGAAAAGCATAATAGGGGTGTGCAAAAAAAATTATTTTTTCTGGCTCAATTATAGCCTATGGGGGCCATTATAGCTGCTAGTGCCTCTCCTCAACCCTCCTCCCCCCAGTTTAAAAAAGATTGGACCAGGGATGGACCAGGGGGTCCAATTCTATGGGCCCCAGATGGAGGTGCCCCCATCCTCCATTGTGCTTGGTGGTAAGCTGAGCAGAAATCCTGAGCTGGCCTCTGAAATATTGTGTGCCAGCGTCCCCCAGCACAGCTTAGGGGGAACTGTAATCTCAATAGGTCCCCAGCATCATGTGCTGTTTGCCCCACATACTACAACTGCAATCTGTTAATAAAAATCCTGTGAGAATTGCAAGGCTGCATTGGTTTTAGAATGTGCAATAGCAGACACTCAGAGAACACTTTCTTTTGTGCATCTTTATGAGCCACTATTCTGTGTGTGCCTCTTCCAAGGGCTGGCAGTAGTGATGGGCATCAGTATTGGAAAGGATCTAATCACATGCAGTCTAGACACACGGCAGAACTACCAATCCTCAGCACAGAGAACAAAGGACAAAGCAATAAGTCACAGACATATATCAAGAAGTCTTCCTCTGTGGGTGTGAGTTCACAAAAACCTTATAAAATGTTACGATTCATTTTCATTCTTCTAACACCCTGGCAGTTTCTTTTGTGGCACACCAATATCCCCCAGCACAGATGTGAGGAACCACTAGGGCTGCCAAGTGGGCCCGGGAGGCGGGGAAACCCCTGCTTTGGAGGCCAGATATCCACCGTGGCGAAATCGGGCCCCGGGGGGAACTCTGCCCCCCGAAGCTGCGTCACCGGTGGTGACGCAGCCATGTTGTGCACGTTGGGGGCGTGGCCCAGATCGTCAGGGGGGAAACCATATGGGCCGATCTGGGCCACGCCCACAACGTAGCACAACTTCCTGTGACGTGCTGGTGGCGCTCCCGGAGCCCAGCAAGGCTCCCCCACCGGGCAAGGTAAGACCACTTGGCAACCCTAGGAACCACTCTATTAGTCAGTGGTGTCCATGACAGAGTATTTACCAGTTCTAATACATACATGAGGAAACTTCCACATCATGGTCCATTTTAAAGCTTCCTTTTTCTGTGAGTAATTCCCTTGTTGAAAGGTTTGTTAACGATTAACCCATGGGATAATGAAAAATTGAGAGATTTCTTTCACAGATTTACAGCTAAAATATTTACTATTAAAGGAGCATTCAAGGTCATTTTTGGTAATAAAAGCTTCTATTCTATCATGTAATTATGAAGTGAATCACCACTCCTTTGCAAGAAGAGATTCAACCCTTAACCAAGCCAATGTACCCTATAACCACTGCATCTGATAACTGCTGCAATATGCTAGTGATCCAAAATCTTTGGTTAAAGCCAAATGTCGTTCTTGCTTGCATTTTAAAAGCTTCCATTTTTTAAAGTATTAAAGCTTTTAAAATCTTAGCAGAAGAAGTTATCCAACTGTAAATTTAGAACTATATTGAACACTGAACAAGTTCTGAAGCGAAATTGTGAATCGTTTTGTTAAAACTGAGTCAAGACTTTGGATCCAACTACTCTCTGAGCAATTAACTAATGTGAGGAAACGGTGGAGCTGCCACCAAAAATGGCATCCTTGAGTTATTTTTCTCTAACCTCCTCTGTAGACGTACTCCATCCTGACATCACCATGCTATGCCCTCACGCCATCAGCAGGAGCCAATGATAATGGATGTGGGGGAAAAGCATAACATGACAATGTCAAGAAATGGGATAAACTGTCCATACTCCTTAAAGGGGCAGAACTTGACACAGGAGTGCCATTTTCAGCAGTAGCCTTGTGCTGTTTATAATATGTTTCAAATTGAGCTGCCCAGTAACCAGGAGGTGTGACAGTTACCTGGCTTGACTGAATTTTCTTAGGACTGCACAATGGCTTTTAGAAGCTAGTTTTGCAACAGGAGGTAGGAGTGAAAATAAGATTTGCCTACTAGCATAAATTTAGAGATCTCCTGTGAGAATCTCTGTTCAAGCAGAGCACAGCTGAACATACTGTCTAGCGGAATTCACTTTAGTGCTGCAGGAATATAAAGGAAGCAGCAGCATTTTGCTTAAATGAGAGAAGAGGAAGAAAAATGGGAACATCTTTTAGTTAGAATATATAACTGAAGACAGAACCTACTTGCATGTCAAAATTCGTACGACATCATTTGGTTTGTACACTTCAATACACACAGCACAGTTATCTCCATCAGGACCCGTTTCCTAAAGGATGGAAAAGTTTCTTTGTCAGCAAGGGTGAGGGTGGGGGCTTAAGCCTTACCTCCCCAGTGGTATTTTTACAACTTAAATTCAATCCAGAGATTTCCGGTCGGTTAACCTGCTTGGGAAGGCTTAACCTCCCTGCCCCATGCCATGGTCCTAATTGAAATGGGGCCCATAGCACCTACTTTTTAAAAGGAGCAATGGCTTGGGAGCTTATTCAGATCCCAGCATCTTGTCTGGTTTGTCCCTTAGTTTGGAAAAAAACCCTCATGTAAGTGGGTGATTGATAGTAATACCATCTACAACAGTGCTGAGTAGTCAGCAAACCTGAAACATCTCCAACATCAGCCAAAGTTATGATTTAATTTTGCATTCATTCTTTTTTAAAAGAATGCATAAGGCTCGTTTTACTCCTCTTTGAGGGGTTCATGGCTACTAAAGCATCTCAGTGTGGTACTGTAAGAGTTTGAGGATGAAGTTTAAAAGCCTGAAACTAACCTCAAAACATGTTAGTTTGCTGTATTGTGAACAGAGGGATTTATGTATATGGTTATTTTCTGGAACAGCAACACTATCTACATTAGTAACTTATTTGAGCACTGAGAGAGATTCTTGTTCACTTTACCGTGTCTCCTTGTTTCAGGGTACGAAGCTGAAGCCGTCCAATAGCTTTTCTGGCATCTGCTTTCAGCTGTCTCTGTAAAAGACAAGCATTGAGTTAACAGGGAATTTATTCTCCCATAGAGAATGGTGACTAAACTCCTATGCCATTTATCAACACTGAGGCTTTTAAAAACAACAACACATAAATAAAAGTTGCTTAACAGTATTAACTATAAGATAACTATGAGCCAAGACACATATCCATCAAACAGTTTATTTAACCTTTGTAAAACATGTTGCAGGGTTTATATGGCAGCCTACAGTGGCAAAATAGTATTGATGAATGGCCTCTAGAATGGAAATTTCCAAACACAATTGAAATATTTTCAGAAGAGTTTTCATTAAAAAAGAAAAACTTCAGGCTCTTCACTGTAATTATCCTAAACATAGTTACTTTCACATTCATCAGTACTTCTTTATGTGGGCTACAGAAGTCAGTGTTCAGTGGTTAGAGTGTTGGAGAGCAAGAGACCCTAGCTGGAATCCCCAGTCTATCACAGAAGCTTGTTGGGTGAACCTTGGGCGAGTCACACATGATGAGCTTATAAAAACAGAGGACAACAGAATGATGTAAGCTGCTTTGGGTCCCCAGTGGAGAGAAGAGGGATATAAATGAAGAAAATATTTCAAGAAGGAAGCCCAGTCACTAACTAGTTTACAATCAGGTGGTCAGCTGTGTTTGGTCTGAAGCAGCAGAACAAATTTAGAGTCCGGTGGCACCTATGAGTCAATTAAATCCAGTCGCTCATTGCTCAGAACATACCTGAACCACTTTGTAGTCAGAAAGGGAGTCATGCATTTCATTTTACTTAACCTGAAAAGCTGTGGGTGCCTAACTTTTGTGGAGAGCAATCCTGATTCAAAGTGTGTGAACACAGCTAAACCAGCTGGAGTGTGGAATACTGCCAGCCACACTGGAAAAGACTCTCAAAGCATTTGTCAGAACCAGAAAGGAAGTTGGGTGGACCGCATTCCCCTCCTCAGCCAACAAAGACTGCTTAAGAGAGCTAATCAAATAGCTTCTGTTGATCTGCTGGAGCAACAGTTGGAGACTTCAGCCAACCTAAAGAAGGACTTCTTAACTGCTAAGAATGTTACATATATTAGTACAGGGACTAATATTAGTACAGGGCAGATACTCAAGCCAGCCAATGCTTTATGTGATGTTAAACCCGTTAGTTACACAGCTTTCCTGTGCACAGATCAAAACATAAAATTTATCAGATGACTATAGAGAGAGAAAAGCACAACTAGCATGGGTTTAAGTGAAACCTAACCAATAAATAGGAACAAAATAACTAATTCTTTAAAGCCAGCATATTTTAATGTGAAAGAACCAGCATTCAATTTTGTCAATCAAATAACAAACATCATCAGTTCCCCTTCATTTCACCTCAGACTGGTCTCCGTCAATCAAGAAACTACAAGGCTATCCTTCAGTTACATATAATGATCGGTCCTTTAGGAATACTCATGATTGGGCCTTTCAAAATGTTTCAGATACTGTTAGAGGCTGCAGAGAAATAATAGTGTTTTAGACTTGAATGGTATGGTTGAACCAGTCGCCTATGGTAGTCTTAGTCCAAAATCTAGACAAACCCAATTTTGCAGGTTTTAAAAACACTGGAAAAAGCAGAAACTAGCTCTAAAAGCTGTTTGACCAGCATGACAGACAGCATGAGAGAAAGAGAAGGAAGGAAGAAGTATGTGTAATACATGCAAGAAAATCCCAGAAGAAGCAATGATGAATTAAGCATTTATACTGAAACCAGCAGTCAAACCAGCAAGTTGCAACAAGGGGAAGTCTAAAAGATACCTAGTATATTTGGTCCCAAGGCCATTTAGAAACAGCCCATGTCTACTTAAAATCATTACGGAAGAGTGAAATATAGATAAATGGTAACTGCCTCATTTTGCACTTTGAGACCGATTTGCCATAGATTTGTCATGACGATTCACTTCATTTAACGTGACTATAAGTACTAGTAAGCAACTATGATTATATTCTGCACAAGCAACACTTGTTTAGCTTTGCAAAAATAATTTTAGGTTGGATAGCTGTAATTATAGTCCGGAGGAACCTGAACTGCCCTGCCACCAGTAGTGTAGTGCAGGATGAATGGCTGTTTCACAAGGAGTCAAGCCTATTCAACCTAGGAAAATTTGCACACAGGACACCTAAGCTTCTTTTCATGGAAGAGGAACAACCTTTCCTACGGTCTGACAAATACCTGAACAATTCCCGGAAAATACAAAGAATGCTAGGTATTCATTTGTAGCCCTTAAAGGGCAGCGACATCCTCAGTATTGACCATTTTTACAGGAACTAACTGAGTAACAGACCTTAGAAAAAAGGAAAAGCTTAGCACTACAGTGTTGTTTCTGGTTAGGACAGAACCAGTCAGTTCACACACTGATAACAAGGCATGTTATATGCACAAATCCTGGTTTTTTTTAAATCAAGAAGCAAGTCTGAGCAGTGTTAATTAAGCCTGCCCAACAAGTAGGCTAGCCCCTTGCGGTTTCTATTCACCATAGTAGATCATTCCCTTCTTGCATGAATGACACACTCGAGAGGGAACCTTAATTACTATGATGGAAAAATCAAAGCTGACTAGACAGGAAATATTTTAAAAAATGCAAAACAAGTGGAATTTTTTTTCTCTTTTCAGCCTCTTTTTATAATTTTAGGCTTGCAAAACAGACTGTGCCGTGCAGAATTAACAATAGCACCTAGCACGAGCATGCAGATAAAATGGGCTGGATTTAATCATCCTCCAAGGGGAAGGAGTCTCCCCCCCTTCCAAAGAGACACTTAAGAAGATACTTTTGAAGAGCTCCCACATCTAGTCATCGAGAGGCAATAAGCACAGGTGAACAGGCGAGGCTGAAATCAGTTTCCAGATTGGAGCGGAGCACATTTTCACATAAGTGACAGCTTGGTCATGTATTATAAAACCTGTATTAGAAATATATGAGTGGCAAACTGGAAACCGTTTGTTTACTGTAGCCACAGAGCTTATTGGACTTTACATGGATAATAAATAGTTCCAGAGAGACGTGACAATTAGCAATTCCCTGGACAATTTTTCAAAATTCAAGTCATCGACATTCACAGTGTAAACATCATTTAGCTGTTTTACCATTAACAAGATCCAAAGTTTCTTCTAAAGTGGTGCATGAAGAGAAGAGCCATAATTTTGCATACATACGAACACTAAGATTAGTTTCCATAAGGCTAATACAACAAATATCAATGTTGATGAAAGCATCAATTGTTCCCCCTACATTTGGCCCTCTCTATACTACTAGGAGACAAAAGGAAGTCTCTATGATGTAACGTTTTAATGAACACATCTTTGTGGTTTGTATGTAAGAAGGGCCAAGTTTGCAAGGATCTTAGCTGAACATTTCAGGTATGGAAGGTCACATAAGTGCCAAGGACTGGACAACTAAATGTCTGTTAAGCAGTTTGAAAAGAACACCTCCAGGGAGGGGAACAATGGTAAATCACATCCATCCATATCTCAGGGAGATTGTCCCCCCATCTGATATCTCCAAGTGCATACCACCTGGAGACCTCTAAGTTTACAATCCAAGTTTAGCTCTCCACACAGCTCCCACAAGGGTAGAGTATATGTGATAATAGGGAAACTGTTTAACATTCTCAACCTTTTGGAGAAAATATCAGTACATAGCCCCTCACTTTCTCATTAAAGTCAATTCCCATCTTTCCCACTGAATCCCTAAAATAAGAAGGAAGCCGCTTTCAGCTATGAACCTTGAAACACCTGGCCTCTCTTACAAGGAAAGCATGAAAACCAGAGAACCCTTCAGTAAGCTTTAAGGTTCTCCAGCCTTGTTAAGCTTGTGGGCATTTCAGGAATTTTGAGAACAGGTAGTTTGTAGTCAATCACAAAACATTGGGAGGTTCCAAGCCAAGTGTGGGGACGGCAACCTCTGGAGGCATGCCCGAAGGTTAATGTTCGCACAGGGAGAAAAGGGAAGTAGTGTGCAAGGTACCGGTAAACATCTGCTGAGATCACTGAGAGAAGAAACTTGGCTAGAGTCGGGTTAAGATAAGAGGGTGAGCTGTGGGCAGAGCACATCCTGTTATTTTAGTTCACAGCCTGCTTGTAGCTTTTCAATATACAGGGCAGGGGGGAGGGGAAAGGGGAAAGCTAATAAAAATGCTGCTGAAGCCAGTCCGGGTCAGATTCTGCAGATCTGTGTCTCGTGTCATTCTTGAACGCTCAAGCCTTCAAGTGCCGCCCAACGTGGGGCACCCCCGCAGGAAAGGCTCCATCTCACCAACGCCTGGCATAGGCCCCTGAGTGCACTCCTCGTCGTGTTTTTACGACCCCTTCATTGGTGAGTTGTTAACATTCTAATGTTCAGTTAAGTCTGGCTGTAGATCAGATGCATCTAAGTGACAGGAGCTGACAGCTCTAAGTGTCTGAAGAGCTGGCTCTAACCGGTTCTGGCTAGTTCCTGGCAGAACTAATTAGCAATGACTCAGCATTGGACCTGATTGGTCACTGCAAGTATAAGTACAGTGATGTACAGTGTAAACTTTCTTCTTGTGAATATCTGGTGTCTGCGTGAGCATTTTGTCGGTCTGTATAAAATATTGGTGAAGTCTTGTGTGAATAAACTGTAAATAGCTTTTACACTAAGCCTTGAAGACTCAAGTCTTATTTGATACTCTCACACCCATGCACACCCTGCAGTGGGCTAGCACCACGTAACATCAACATGAGTATGGGTGGAAGATTAACACTGCAGCAGCAGAAACATTTGAAAGAACTACAGTTCCTAGCCCAGAAGGCCGGCCGGTCCGTGTCTTCTGCGTCCCTTACCCAACTGCTTTTGGAAATTCAGAAACAATGTCCTTGGTACCCTGAGGAGGGTTCCCTAAAACTTAGGGACTGAGAAAAGATTGGGAAGACTTTTCACGCTGAGCCTCGGGCTCCCATGGAAGTGTTACATTCCTGGTATCTGTGCAGGTTTGCGGTCGAGGCTATAGCGCCTGTC